ACTGCAACATACTCGCCTACCACCTTCAATGTCGATTACCATCCGTATGTGCCTTATGAAATTTCTGCGATATATGAACTGCTTTTGAAATTTTTTACTGGAAAAGCTGACTATAGTGCAGTAATAGGAGCAACGTAGTGCCGAAATACTGTTTTACGTCTCACGAAACCACCAGTTATGATCATCAACCACTTTAACCATCTTGTTTCGTTTCAGAAAGAAAAATCAAAGTAGCCAGTTTGGAGTGTTTTACATCACCTCGTAGATATCTTGTATCTGCAGCACTTCTCATCTAAGCTTGTGTCTTGTCATACCTAAGGAGCACATTGTCTGCACATTACCTTAAATTAAATTCTTCACTTACAAAAGTAGGGTATACATAGAAACTTATGAATTTCCGAACAAAAAGTATGTTTAAGCTGATAATGATGAAGAAAATGTTTTTTTCTCTTCTGCCATCGTTTATTCAAAGTCATAGAACTTTAGAAGATATCAGCATCATCGATAATTTGATCACAACTCCTTCATTACAGAAAGTCTTCTCAACTGCGTAATGAATCCCTCCCAAACGGTTGCCGATTTCTCTGCTGATGTTTTCAAGCAAGTCGTCTACCGCCTTGATGTGCATAAACACTTAGCATGTGCAGCTCTGGAAACAAATCAGTGGTCACAGTTCAAGTGTGTTTCATTCTATTTCAATAGCGTATCATTGAATAGTAATAGTAATATGTCTGAATCGATGATAGAAGCATTTGTGTTTAAGACTCATCATGGTATCCTGCCCGCTGTCGCCCCACCACTCACCATTTATCGTTTTCCACATCGTAGAATTCGTCTTACAAAACATTGTAAATTCTTTTTTTTTATAGGAAACACCCGATGTTCAAATGTTTAAGGAGACTGTTTGATTCAGGAAAAGCAGAACGAGGTCATAAAATGGTACATGGATGCACTGTCACGAGAACGTTTGCCTTTGAATCAACTTCAATGGACCAAGTATGCTACGCAATTGATTAGGTATTTTTGCCTGATAGTTAGAATTCTGATTTTTCATACTTTCGAGTCAATTTTTGCCGTTAACTGTGAAGTCGCTGTTATAAGTCGATCATCAATGGGTTTATCAGCGTTGAAGCGCTAAAGTTTTGAAATTTGTACTATGCTGTGATGACGAAGTTTCTCAAATTTGCAATGTGAGGAAATTTCTCACCAGAAAGTGCCGTATAAACTACCACATTTTTATTTATTTCTTGATTACAGTTTGTACCATTTTGGTTTGAATCTGCTCCCAAGGATTCTCTTGGGTAAAAAAGCTATTGACAGCCAAACATATTTTTCTGCTTCAGCGCAGCGAAATATATGAAATATGGCTTTATCCTTCGTAATGTAATTTTATGGAATGACATTGGATAAACAGGATAAGAGTGGCGCATATTCCGCTCTCTTGAGTATCACCTACCATTGGGAAAATACAGAGATAGAACAAGTTACAATATAACTAGATACAATCCATACAACACATTCGCCGGGGTTTCTTCCGCAACGGTAAAGCGTAGACTTCAGAATTCTGCTTCCTATAGTGGCTCCTCGACGCAATTGGTTTGCATATCTTTTCCATAACTGTTCGTCTTTGGTGAGCACTTCGTACACAGTTTGCCCATGACGTTTCTTGGCATGAGCGGAAACCATTTTCTATATACAGGGATATACACAAACCCACACTAATTTTTCCATTTGGTGCGACTTCTTCTGTGCTTTATGATGACCTCAAATTGCTCTTCCTCATGACCAATCCGTTCCTCTTTCGTTGTGGCTTCCTCCAACAACGTTAAACGTCCTAAACTGACGTCGCAGGAACACTTCAGCTGGAGAACTTTGTCCAGGCGTTGACATGTTCAGCGTTTGTTGGTAGCAT